TCAAGAATTCTTGGGAGTGTTTCCTCATGGATATATATGCCATGTACCATAACTACATTAATGGCAGTGCCTAAAATGTGCTTTGATATTTAGAGATAAAATCTAGAGAGTCAGGCTGGCAGCCTAATAACTGGGATAGATGGCTCTTTCTTGTATACAAAGGCTTCTGTTTGTAGAAAGACAAGAGATGACAGAGCATGTAAAATGAGTGAATCACTAAAAGAAGGAATGAAATCTGTCTGACCTCTACCTTGTTTGGGATCTACCCACAATTTTGGGACTTACACCTTTATTTGGCTTCATTCATTCAATATATTTATCAGGTGGCTCTTAGGATTGTGCTATGTGCTCAGGGAATTACATAAGCAAGACAAGATTCCAACTCTCCAAGAGTTTTCAGGGTTGTACCAATCAAGAATATCTTGATTTACACTCTTGCTTCATCATCTTTATCTTACTCAATCACAAAACCTTAACTAACTCCAGATGAGTCTGTTTAAGTTAAGCATGAGTGCCAGTGGAGAAATTTCATATACTTTTGATGTGATAAAGAATAATTGCTTGCTTGATATCATTAAGGAAGATGTGGTGCTTTCAAGAACTGAGATTTTGTATTTTAAAACCTGGCTTGGTGCCTATTCTGTTCACCTTTCTGACTCCTGGTAGACTCCTGCGTGGCATAGGGCTCAGTTCCCACGGTCAGTCTGTTGTTCTTTTCCTTGCCCGCTTCAAAAATTCAGCTGAATCTCTGGGACATTAGATGCTTTTTTATCTTTGTCCTTTTCTGTATTTGATTTTTCTGCAAGAAGTGTGCATATTGACATTACCAGGAAAATGTTGATTTTATTACAAAACCAAACAAAACTTGAATGCTTCTTGTTCAGGTCCTTGAGGTCTCAGTAAGAGGTGAAGTAGTTTAATTTAAATATTAACTATTAACCCAAGTAAAGATTTATTTTTTAAAGATTTATTTATTTATTTATTTATACAAGCACTGGGTACAGTCAGAAGCATGGGAGGGTGAGAGAATATACCAGAGCCAGAGCGGGGAACAGAACAGGCAGAGGGATGAAGTACACTGCTGAGGGGAGCAGTGGGCGCAGCAGGAGAGGTCTGCACGCCATGTGGGACCCTCGCCAGTGGCCAGGGATCGAACTGGCGCTGCAGAGGCTGCGGGCAGCTTTTCAGCCCAGCGCTCAACCACTGTGCCACTGGGGAGGCCCAACCCAAGTAAAGATTTATCCTTGCTCCTCCTCCAGATGCTTTTTAAAAAAATTTATTATTATTATTTTTTAGAGATTTATTTATGCATACAAGATCTGGGGTACAGGCCAGAGGTGTGAGCAGTGAGAGGTTTCACCAGAGACAGATGGGAGCAGAACAGGCAAATTGACTTAAATACACTGCTGAGGGGAGCAGTGGGCGAGTCAAGAGAGGTCTGCTGTGCCATGTGGGTAGCTCCCTGGCTGGGGATTGAACTTATGCTGCAGTGGCTGCAGATTGCCTCATAGGTTGTGTCTTAACCCCTTGCGCCACCAGGGAGGCCCAGCTTTTTTTTTTTTTTTTTTAAGATTTATTTATTTAGCATACAAGAGCTGGGGTACAGGCCAGAGATATGGGAAGTGAGAGGATTCACCAGAGACAGAGTGGGGAACAGAACAGGCAGACTGACCAAAGTACACTGCTGAGGGGAGCAGCGGGCAAGTCAGGAGAGGTCTGCTTCACCATGTGGGTTGCTCTGTGGCCGGCCGGGGATTGAACTCGTGCTGCAGAGGCTGTGGATTGCTTCATGGTGCAGTGCTTAACCCCATGTGCCACCAGGTAGGCCCAGGATACTTTTTTTTTTTTAATCTCTTAGTTAACAATGACTCTAGTCACACAGTCTGTTAAAATAGAAATCCTGGTTACATCCTTAATCCCTGTTTTAAACACTCTCTAAATCTGTCAATTGTTTAAGTATCTCTCAAATATGTCCCCTTCTTTCCATCCTACTTTTGACTTCCCTAGTTTAGACCTTATTCATCTCTCACCGATATTACTGTAATGCCTCTCTAATTGCTCTCGCCACCTCCAGTAACATCTCTGTCTAGTAGTCTCTTAAATCATGACTCTCCCCTACTTAATATCCTTCATTGTCTCCCTTCTGTCTATGGGACTGAGTCAGAATGTGTCCACATAGCCTACAAACTTCTCAAGCCCTGATAACAACTTTATCTCTTGCCACTTGTAGGTAAATACCCTGTACTTCTAAAAACACTCAACTACCTTCCTGTCCTTAAATAGTTCTGGCTCCCCTCTTGTCTTGTTTGCCTTTAACTTTGTTTTTCCTTTGCTTGGAATTGGAATGTTCCTCTTCCCTTACCTGACAACAAAACTCTTTCTCCTATTGGTTCAGAAAACTGGAATCACCCTTCCTCTCCTAGGTAGCAGGTTATGATAACCATTCCATACGTTCCTGCTTTATCCAGAAAATAATCATATCAACAATAAAGAAACTCAGTGTAGGATAGTTAAAATAACTGTTAATATTGATTGAGTACTTCTATATGCCAGTGTCGGTACTTGGAACTCAGAAGGCATTAACTCATTTAATCCTTATTTAACCCTCTTAGATAGGCATTCTTTAAAAAAAAAGATTTATTTATTTATGAATGCAAAGAGCTGGGGTACAGGCCAGAGGTACGTGAGGTGAGAGGATTCACCAGAGACAGAGTGGAGAACAGAACTGGCAGACTGAAATACACTGCTGAGGGGAGTAGTGGGCAAGACAGGAGAGGTCTGCTGCTCCATGTGGGTCACCTCCCTGGCGGGAGATCAAACTCGTGCTGCAGTAGCTGTGGATTGCTTCATAGTGCTGACACTTAACCCCTTGTGCCACCAGGGAGGCCCCTAGCTAGGCATTCTTACTACCTTTATTAATTGTAACATTTATGCCACTTCTTAAAATGGCTTTCTCCCTAGCAGACAGTTCTTAATCATCATTACATCCCTAGCAATTAGTGTAAGTTCTGGACACTGTTTTTTTTTGTTTTTTGTTTTTTTTTAATATTATGGCAACGATCACATTTATCCATATCTTGATCCCCAAAATGGAATAATGTGAAATTTGTAGCTCTGTGGTAGGCAAGGCTTGCAGTTTGGAAGCTTTCAAGATACCTCTAATTATATTTTGAAAGCACTTCTCCCTTGAACCAAATAACATTGCTATCCTTCCACTTAAGAAAATAATCTGGGAGTCACCTAGTTCACTACCTTTCTTCACCCCTGCAGCTCAGAAAAATATCCTGAAATCCTTCAACTCTTATTTTCATAGCAACTACCCTAATTCAGCTCACCATCATCACCATCAGGGACTTGTCCCATAGCTGCTCTGGTTCTCTGGCTCCTCCCTGTTCCATCTCTGCTCCCCCCAAGTCATTCTCTCCAAAATAGGTTGATATAAAAAACAAAATAAGACAAAATCCCTGATTATTTTTCCTTTGTAATTAACAACAACAGAAAAATCCTAACAATATGTTTAGTTTCCTGCTTGACTCTTCAACCAAAATCTCATGCAAGCCTCTACACAAACCTCCAGGCAAGCCTTCTGGTCTTCTTTTCCTCAAACAAGTCATACCTGTCCAGCATCAGCAGTGCCCTCTGTTTAGAATTATCTTCTTCCCCATGGTTGGCTAACTGACTCCTTTTCGTCATTTAAGTCTTAGACCAGAACACCTCTTCAAAAAGTTCTTCTCTCATCATTGTTTCGGTTTTCTTTCATTTTTATGACTACCTGCAATTGTCCTCTTATTTTATTCTTCATCTTCTCCAATAGAAACATAAATGTCTATGTGAGGGGCTTCTTCTGTTTTATTCACTGTTTTATCCCTAGTACAGAAGGAGTCTTCTTGGTGTGTACAGGTGTTCCATAGATCCTCAACAGAAAAGACTCCCTATGTTCCTACTGGTTTTTTTTTTTTTCTTTTAAACTGGTGAGAAAGGAGACACAAGTCTCAAAGACTTTGGGATCTACCACAACCTATGTTCATCTAGTTAGCAGAAAGAGCAATTAAAATTGTCGTAGAGGAGGCACACTGGGTGTCGGCCCATTGACTGAATGAATGCTAAGGCCGGTTCTACTTTGCGGTGAACAATGCTGCCCGATCTCAAGGACTTGTACAAATCTGCTTTGTTAAAAGGCCCAGAGAGAGCAGTCAGTTTCAGGTAAACCTGATCCATTTGGTCAAGCAGCCTGACTGAGTCTTGGGTGACCATCCCAGCCTGTCTGTAGTATGAAGGAGTGAAGAAGCAGGTCAGGACATCTTGTACTAGTGTGGCTCTTCATTCCCTTTCACCTACCTTTACTTGCTCTAGCAAAATCTAAGTGATTAACTATTGTATCTAATCTATGTTGTAAATCTATCTGCATCATTTTCTCTTTGATTGTGAAGTCCTCTTTTTATTTATTTACTTAATTGCCCCATTATTTCACACATTTTCCAACCATCTCCTGTACTGAAGGACAGAGTCACGTGTAGTTTAAGCATTAAGCAGGTCATGATACACGGCCAGGGCTTCGATTTTGTTCCCAGAGGATAAGTTCAACCTGCAATGATGCACAGTTTGGGAAGTGACTTCTGCCAGTATCTAGACTAGCCAGTACCTTGCTACACCCTTGCCGTTTCAGACTTCCCAAGTTGTCTCGGTTCCCTTTCAGCCGGACATCGGCTCGCTGGAGTAGAAGCGGAAAGAAGCTGCGGCAGCCCTTGTCAAGCGCTGCTGGCCGGCAGCGGCGGGCGCCAGGCGCCAGGGCGAGCGTGGGGCTCCCGCACTGGGCACCGGTGTGCCCGGGAAGGGGCGGGGCCGCCGTGGGCGGTGGGCGGGGCCTGGAGGCCGCCGGGACCACCAATAAAATCCCGAGTCTGCGCGGGCCGTGCGCGTGACGCAACGTAGCGGGCTGCGAGGCTGGGGGCGGAGGGGCCTGGGAATTGGACGCTTTATCTGCGTCCGCTGCGCGGCTGGCGAGCTCCTCGGCCTTGGGCACCCGCGGAGCTGCCCGGAGCCGACCTGCCCCCCAGCCGCGCTGTGGCCGCTTCCGGCTCTGCGCTCCCTGGCCAGGTACCCCCGTCGGACGCCAGCCTCAGGTAAGGCTGCCGCTGCCCAGTCCCCGCTTCCCGCGGGGGTCCCCCACCTCCGCTGGAGAGGTCCGAGGGGGAGGCGGTCACTGCCTCTCCGGCCCGGTGGGCCTGGCCCTGTCCTGGATTGAGGGGGACGCGGCCCAGGGTCGTCACGCTGGGGGAGGAGGGAGAGGTCCCAAGGGTCCTGGGGAGTTTGGGGGATGGGAGGGCGGGAAAGTTATGGTCCGGCGCCCTGTTGGGACACTGTCAGCCTTTTAATCCTCGGAGGGTTTTGGTGTCTCCCCCCAAGTCTTTTGCCAGCTCTCATTTCCAGTAGTAAAGAAAGTTATGGATCACACATTTTATTCCATAAAAAGCCAAACCAGAAGATGCATCCAGAAAGTCAGCTTATTGATTTAGGGGGAAAAACGTGAAGGGATGGATGACAGACACTTCAAGACATTGATATCTCTTTGATTGGGCATCGAAGCCTTTAATTAAGCTCCTATTTTTAAATACTAAGATGTAATTTTCTGTGGTTCGCAAATGCTAGAGCCATGCAACTTAAATGAAATGTATGTTTGGAAGTTATTTGTAAGTGAGAACCAATTGTAAACTTTATTCTCCACGTGTGTGTGTGTGTGTGTGTGTGTGTGTATAGGTTAAGTTCACTGAACTCAGTTATGCTGAGTAGCTATCATCTGTTTAAACTACTTTTGGGTAGGCATGAGAATGGATGTTGGGAAGCTCTGATGCTTTCAAGGGTAATCATTTTAAAATGCACATGTCCCAGTCTATCACGTGCTTACAAACCTCAAAAGATTTCACATTCTCCATAACAGTGTCTTATCTCCAGTTCATTTTAGGTAGCTTCCCTCCTGGTTCTCTGGGTCAAGCCACACTAGCTCTGTGTTCGGCCATAGTCTCTTTCCCTTGACTATTTCCTGATCTTTAAGGGTTTCCTCCACCTTTAAAGCACTGTTACAGTCTTTCCCCAGACATTACTCAAATATTCCAAATATTACTTCCTCAGTAAAGCTAGACCATCCTGGTTAAACCTTCCTAGAACTATTCTCCTTGGTAGTAGTTAATGTAATGACTTTTGTGTAATGAGATGTGTTAGTTAATTAGATGTTTTTTAATTGTTTCCCTTCCTAGCATGCAAATTTTGTAAAGGCTCACTAGTTCATCTTATTTCTGTCCTAATTTTCAATCTGAACCAGCTCCTGGTACAAAGAAAGAATGAATGAGTTTGAGGACAGAGGAAGGAACCTTGGACTGACTGGGAAACATTATTTAGGGAAAAATTATGTTTCCTTTGGGACAGAAGTGGGGAAAATTTTGACAAGGAATTTTCATTTGTCAAATTTATTTTTGGAGTTTATCCTGTAGGAAAAATGTAGCATACAAATGTAAATGAGAATTTGGCAATTCTTTTGTTTTGCTAATTGACTTCTTGACCCAGGCCTTTGATATGTAAATACTGTAGGCTATACTAGGGCAAACTGTTGGGCAGGACTGGGAGAAATTTTATATTTTAGATTCTAAGTATATCTGTAACTGTTACTTTCTCCCCTGCTGAACCTTGGAGTGGTGTAGCAAAGTTCTTTGCCTAAATTTGGTGCTCAGTTTTTTTGTTTTTTTTTTGTTTTAAAAAACAATTTGTATGTTCTTTTGAAAGCTTTGTCAGTGGGAATACTGCAGGCCCACAGAAGTTGATACTTCTTTTCAACTTTCAAACCAGTTCTTTTTGTTTTGCTTCCTTAAGGCAAAATACTTTTACACTGCACTTTATAAAAATTAGTGCATAGATTGAATTCTTAAGAAATTCATGTTCAGGGGCCTCCATGATGGCGTAGAGGTTAAAGACAGCGCTATCAAGCTATTGGCAGCCACTGCAGCATGAGTTCGATCCCAGGCCGTCCAGGGAGCAACCCACATGGCAAAGCAGACCTCTCCTGTCTCGCCCGCTGCTCGCCTCAGCAGTGTACTTCAGTATATCTGCCTGTTCTGCTCCCCACTCTCTCTGGTGAATCCTCTTACCAACACAGACCTCTGGCCTGTACCCCAGTTCTTGTATGCATAAATAAATAAATCTTTAAAAAAAAAGAAATTCATGCTCAGAATGCTGTATTTTTTTAAAGATTTATTTATTTATGCATACCAGAGCTGGGGTGCAGGCCTGAGATGTGGGGGGCAAGAGGATTCACCAGAGACAGAGTGGGGAATACAATAGGCAGATATACTGAAGTACACCACTGAGGGGAGCAGCGGGCAAGACAGAAGAGGTCTGCTGGGCTATGTGGGTCTCCTCCCTGTCCAGGGATTGAATTTGTGCTGTAGTGGTTGTAGATAGCTTCATAGGTTGTGTCTTAACCCCTTGCACCATCAGGGAGGACCAAAGTGCTGTATTTTTAAATCGCTGTCTAGTGAGCATTATGTCACCTTGGATGTAAATGTTTCCACTGCCCTATTGGTTAGTGACTTCGAACCAGTTTCCCAGAATCTTTAGAAATGGAATTGTTAAATGAGGTATGTGATACATCTGTCCTGGAGCCCAGCACTGTAAATGTTACTGGCTTAGTAGACAATGCCTGCTTCCTCCACTGTTGGCCCTTTTGAGACATTTGTCTTATGATCACTGTTTTCACTTCCTAAGCTTATTTTGCAACCCCTTGTGGGTTGCAAAATTTTCAAAGAGGTCTTTGTCCCTCTTCCTGAAACCAGCAGTACAAAAATTAAGTAAATCAAAGTTATTAATGTCCCCAAATTGTGAAATATCCCTTGTTCTGCCACCTGCCTTTTCTCTTGGTCTTCCATGGTATTGACCATAGATTATCTCTTAACTCCTCTAACTTAATTTTAAGCACTAATTGCTCCTGGTTCTCCTTTAGTCTCTTCTAAGCTGTGCTGGTGGTTGGTGATTTTTTTTTTTTTTTTTTTTTTTTGTTAACTGTTCTTTAGTGACCTTGTAATGTTTGGAAAATTATTTAACCATCTATAAAAAGGGTAATAGTAATCTATGCTGCATAGGGTGTTGTGAACCATAGTAAATGCCACAAGCTGCTGCCTGTGTACTGATAATCCTAGATTTTGATGTTTTCTACCGCCCTCTGTATGTAGATGCATAGAATCCTTAGCTTAATACTTAGAAATTTATCTTACTGTCTCCCCATCTCTTATTTGTTCATTAACTTAATTGTGCATTCAGTCAACACAAGTATTTGAGTCCTTTTTGTCTGGTACTATCCTCTCTCAAGCTCATCCTCCACAATTGTGTCTGCGTTCTCTTACTGAGAGACAAATGTCAAGTCATCTTTTTTATTTAAAAACTTCTGTCAACACCTTGTTTATGTTTCATACTCCTTAGAATCATCCTTAAGGGTTCTTGACCTTTTGTCCTTGCCCTTCTAAGTACCATGTACTCAAGCCTTATTCAATCTCTTCCTTTAAGAATTTACCTTCTTGGGCCTCCCTGGTGGCACAGATTGTTAAAGTCTCATTACTATAAAGCTATCGCCAGCCACTGCAGCATGAGTTTGATACCCGGCCAGGAAACTAACCCACCTGGCGCAGCAGACCTCTCCTGTCTTGTCTGCTGCTCCCCTCAGCGGTGTATTTCAGTAGATCCACCTGTTCTGTTCCCCACTCTGTCTCTGGTGAACCCTCTCACCACCCCCTCCTCTGGCCTACACCCCAGTTCTTGGGGTCAATCTTTAAAAAAAAAAATTCACCTTCTTCAGAACAGCTTTCCTAATTAGATGCCCTTAAATTCTATTAGGCATCAAACATGTATTCCTGTCTTACACTTAACATCTCAATTACTGTTCTGTAATACCATTAGGTGTTTATAATTTTTTTTTTAATGTTTTTTGCCCACTAGATTTTCACACCTGGAGGGCACACAGACTGTTGTAGTCATCTTTGTATCCCAGGGTTTGGCATGTAGTAGACCTCAATAAAATGTTTGAGATAATGAATCTATCACCATGGTCTGTACTTGCTCATGTTTTTCATTGAGTGCTTGCTTCCTCCCACTCTGTTTTGATGCTTCAAAAACTTGTATCCCCTCTTTGAACTCTGGATCTGATGTCACTTTCTGGATGAGGACTAGTTTGACTTACCTAAATGTTAGTTATGCCTTCTCTTGACACAATGTATGTGTGTGTATGAAGATGTAGTGGGGGTAGACCTGTATTACAACACAGTGATCTGACATCACTGTAGAAAGAGGTACTTAATAACATGGCTTTTCAGATAATTAGCACATCCTTTTAAATGTCAGAACTTTAAAAAATTTCTTCAATGTGAATTTTTTCCCCTTGCCTTTTATGTTTATTAAAGTACTGTAACCTTTTTCAGATGTGCCAGGGTCATTAAAGCATGAACTTTAGTACAGTCTGCTTTGATACAGTGATGTACTGCAGAACTCATTAAGAAGCAGCCCCTTTGGTCTGATACGGAAAGATCTAGTGTCCCATTTCTATTTTAGTGTTAGCTCCTATCTTTAAAGTTTTTTTCCTTTCCTGTCATCTATAGTTCTGTTTTTATAGTCACTACCATGTTCTGTTTGAAAATGTAAACAGGATTACTGTCCTCACAGGGTGATTATTAAGGTTAAAGGTCCTACCTGAAGGTCTTATCAGAGAGTATGCAAATACTGACTTCCCACTAAAAGGAATTTACTATATATGCAGTGGTGTGTGATGTTCTGTTGTGTAAGTCTCCACTGTTTGATTTCCTGTCACTTTTCCTCATTAATAAAATTGTAAATGACTTGTAAATAAAATTGTAAATTGTAAATGAATTATAAAAAAACCCTCAAAACTATACCTCAGTAAAGTTGAAAAATGCTAAGTACAAAACAAAGTGACATGTTTAAAAAGTTACAATATTATTTCAGTGTTTCACTTATAAATTTAATTTATATGAGCTAGTTTATTTTAATTTATATTAATACTACTATTGTATATAAATAAAAATATAAATACAAATAATGTATAAAGAAAAAAAGGAATTTACTAACA